TCGGGATACCGTCCGGCATTTTGAGTCCTAATAGCTAGCTAGTGCGAAGGATCTCGGAATTCCAACTTTGGTTCCATGCATGTGATGTTTGTACATAGCGGCTGCTAAGAAATCCTGGCCTTTTGCACAGTAAGCAACAAACTGAGAGGAACAAACCATAAATCTTCTCGAAGCAACAGAAGTTTACTTACCCGTCTTCAGAACGCCTTCCAGGCTTCTGGAAGGTCAACATGTTCAATGGATCCCTTACAACCAATGCTGCTTCCGTTCCTGATTCCATGTGATCTATCCATATTTCATGTTATCAATATTATTGGTCAACAAAACACAAAGTTCAAACACACACACACACAAATTTTCTCAAAAATACGGGATTTTCATGGATTTTCATATATTTTCATGGATTTTCACATATGTTCATGGGTTTCTCAAAGATGTTCCACAGGAACAATCCTCCGACCGATCCAGATGCTTCACCAGGCCAGGTGACGACGGAGGTCCTCCTCCGTGACGTGGATACAATCCTTGTAGATGGTGCCCTCATCCTTAGGCAGGCTAGAAAAACAACCTGTGCATTTAGATTGAAAATATTATATACATATACTATATATATATATATGTATACATATATATATATATATATGACGGCACGAGAAAGATCTCAGCAGCCAAAAAAAATAATACATATATATATATATGTATATGGTATATAATAGTATACTATATATATATATGTATATTATAGTATCAATATATAGTATCTATATTCATGGCATAGGAAAGCTGGCTCAAGGAGTTGGAATTCCGATCGTTGGGCATCTCTTGCCTGTCCCCGACACACTCCAAGCCAGGCGACCAGGACTCGTTTCTCAAAAATTCGAACTGAAGCAATTTTCGATTTCCATGTCTGCACGTATCGATGGCGACAAACGTACAACGATAAACGTATATCAACGTAGAACTTAAGCCCAAGCGGAGAACGAGAAAAACACGGGGAGTTGAACTCATGACAACTCGACCTGCCGACAGGTCACCGGCATGGAGATCACATGTGCAGTTGAGAGTGCCTCGGTCATAGAATTCACTCGCATTAAAGATGAAAAATTGGACCTGTGAGGTTTCAACCTATGTGGTCACTGGCATCTTTGCTTTGACCCTTGCTGACTCGAGATCAAAACTTGATAAAAGAGTTCAATCAAATAATTCAGATGGAATTCCGGTGCTGTGTTTCGTTCTGACATGTTTTGACGCGGCCAAGATCCAGCAACTACTGCTATCCTGCAAATCCCCTCTCCATGTTTCGGCAAAAGCAATCAAGTCGATCAAAATACCTCAAAATGGACCCCACTTGCATCAGCTATATAATATGAAGTCTCCTAAAATTGTGGGTACCCTAAATCATCCACAATTGGTTATCATCAATGGGAAAACCACTGGTTTCGGGTACCCATATTTTGAGAAATCCCCCATCCTTTCCGGTCCAAATGGACCCGCCTTGGACTCTGGTGGGCATTCTGGGATGGCTGCAGGGCAGCTCTTGCGGTGCTGGATCTTCCTGGCTAGACATCTCTGCATCTTGAGAACTGGGTCCCAAAGACCTGAAATGACCTGAATGTCATCAAAACCATCAAATAATTTAAGATCAGCCTGTTCTTCGAACGCAGTAATTACATGTAATTACTACCGAAGATTGAAGTCACTTGAAATATTTGAAATGAATTTACACCCCATCGCCCCATCGCCTTCTGATCCTCTTTTCCAGCATTGGTCGCATCATTTCTGCCAAGATCTTCTCAGCCGCGACCCCGCGTGTGGCTCTGTGCCGTTGGGTGGCTCTTTATCGTCTGTGTGGCTGGAATGGCAGTGTCTCAAAGAAGCTGTGTATATATATATATATACACACACACATAAACTCTAGCTGCAGTAGAACCTCATCAACATTCACTTTGCTGAAGGCTTTTTGACCTTCCACTGGCTCACTGTTTGAGCCCAAAGGTTCCTGCGAATCGCAAATGATTTGAAGCCCTCAAGAAACAACGGGCTGTTCAAAGCCAGGTGGCACAGATTCAGGCATATCCTGCATGTTGCGGGATCCTTATCTGTTTTAACTGGGCATGAAAACTAAACTCGACATCACAAAATGATTGCTGCAGATGACTGCCTACTTTCAATATGCATTCAACATCTTCAATGGAGACGTGCCTCCATCGCCTTTGCGAAGTGGTCGACGGCCTCGTCAAAGCGACCATCTGTGGCATTGACCTGGCAGATCTGTTGGTTGATAGGTTTTCCTATGGGTCATAAATTGTTATGTGTATGTATATATATATATATGTTACACATATGTGTATATATATATAGTTCTATTGTGAATTGTCAGGTATCTATGCCTTGATGTGACTTCAGCATGGATCATGAATCCAGGATGGACCACATATAACCTCCATGGGGCCTTTTTGGTTCAGGCCGTGGTGGGAGGGTCGTGGACTTCGCTGTAGGATCGGCGATGGAGCCTTGAGCGGTGAGTCAAAACCTTTTGCTGCGCTTTCTCTTGGTGTGGGACACCAATTCATATCTCTTTGATCGACAGGGTCATCATCCACTTGATTTGACAGGGTTCATTCAATATTGATTTTCCTGACAGGGTCAGATTGCTTGATTGGTTGTATCCTCCGCTACCAATTTACATTGGTAGCGGAGCCTAGTGCTCCAGCTGCCTTGGTGGACATCAGGGACGTCCGTTTTCCTTTGGCAACTGTAAGAGTGGTGATTCAGGGAGGCCGAGCCCTTTTTGGATTTGTGTGCAGTTACAACAGTTTTGAGAATGCCACCGCCTCAGGAGTCAGATTTGCCTCCTGTGCCGGATGATGAAGCTCCGACTCAGGTCAGCACTCAGCTGCCTTGGAGTCAAATCCCGAAGTTCGTCCCAGGGACGACAAATGTCCAGGAGTATACGCAGAAGCTCAAGTTCCTTGCGGCCTTGTGGCCTACGGATTTCCTGGATCAATTAGCTCCTAGAGCTGCGTTGTTGGTGGAGGGTACGGCGTTCAAAAAGATTGCCCGTATCCCACCTCAGAAGTTGAAGGTGAAATCGACTGATGGCATTGCAGCCATCGTGGAGGCGATCGGAGGTTCTTGGGGCTCCACAGAACTTGAAGAAAGGTACGAGTTCTTTGAAAGGTCATTGTACGGAACAGTTCAACGCAATGACGAGTCCCACGACAGTTTTTTGTCTAGGATGGAAGCCAATTTTGTTGAGCTCATTGCTCGCAACACGACACTGGAGGAGGTTCAGGCCTACGTTCTCTTGCGTCAATCGACGCTCAGTGCGGATGACAAGAAACGCATCCTGCTCGAACACGGTGGAGAGCTCAAGTATGGGCCGGTAGTCAAAGCCTTCAGGTTGTTGGGCAGTCGATTTTTCAATGAATTTCAGACTGGTCGCAGTAGTCAGAAAAACAGGGTCTATGATGTCAATGTTTCCGAAGCCGATCAACATGAACATCATGCTGCTGCCGATACTGGTCATCATGAGAAGGCCTTTTTCACTCATGCCGATGAACATGAAGTTGAATTGGAACCAGATTTCATTGAGGCACTGATTGCTCAGGATGATGCCGATGCTTTGACCGTATCGACGTTTGAGGGAGAGTTTGAAGATTTCTTGCAAGAGACACCAGAGATGTACGAAGCTCTCACGTCGTACATAGAAGCCCGTTCCAAGTTAGTGGAAAAGAGAAAGAGCCGTGGTTTCTGGCCTGTGAAAGGAAAAGGCAAGGGGTTCAAGGGTCGTGGCAAAAGCTTTGGCAAGAGGTCAAAGGATCGGGAAGCGCTGTTACAGCGTATTTCAAAGAGCCATTGCCGACGTTGCGGCGCCTTGGGTCATTGGAAAGCCGAGTGTCCCCAGGCTTCCCAATCGGAGAAGTCAGCCATGCCTTCGTCTTCAGCCACTGCCCATGTTGTGTTCGAAGAGAGGCCTCAGGAGATTTTCCAAGCCTCGACCGACACTGATGAAGTGATTTCCGAAGATGAGTATGAACTTCCGTCTGTTGACGCCAGTCCGCACCCAGTTGTTGTTGCCGAAGAATCATGTTTTGTCCTCAATCATGAAAGTCGTGCAGTCGGGGTTGCCAAGTTGAGTCGTAGGATGTTTGAGTTCAACATGACTAGGCAAAAGTTTAATACTGTCCCAAATGCCTCCGCATCCGTGCCATGTTCACGATCGTTGCCCAGGAAATGTCCGGACGATGAGGAGTCACACCATGCCACAGTTCAGTTGAAATGCCGACCGTTTGCAGGGTCTCGCATAGCCGAATCTGTATATAGCAGCTTGGAAGACTTCTGTACACATGCCATTTTGGACACAGGAGCTAGCCGCTGCATCATTGGAGACAAAACACTCCATCGCCTCAAGCAGTCGCTGCCAGAATGCATCCGATCCCAAATCCGTCAAAAGGATAGCTCAGTCAAGTTTCGTTTTGGAAATAACCAATCTCTTACCAGTATGTATGCAGTTCAACTTCCTTTGAAACATGCTCATGGTAGGAAGTTGTGGTTGTCAGTTGAAGTTGTTCGTGGTTTGACACCGTTTCTGTTTTCCAAGAAAGCCTTTAAGATGTTGCAGGGATCACTGGATACGCAAACTGACCAGTGTGTTTTGTCCAAAGTTCAAGATCAGCCCATTCCGTTGCAAACGAGTCCCACTGGTTTGTATCTCATCGACATGTTGGACATTTGCCAAGGAGATGCCACCGCATTCACTCATGCGGAAGTCAAGCAGTGTGTCACCGACCATTCCCAGTCACAATTCGGGGTAAGATGTTCTAATGGGGATAAGTTAGAACTTTCGAAAAATAAACAATTTTTGGGTTCAGTTGTAGGGGTTTCTCAACCGATGCAAGACTCTGCCACCTCTGCCAAGAGATTTTTGCGAGTCAGAGACTTTCGCTCAAAGAACCAGGTGCCACCGTTCCCACAGCATTCGTCCGCTGATTGCCATCATGCCGCCAATGGTCAGTGCTCTCAAGACCATTGCCGAAGCCCTGATCCGGCTTCTCACCATGCTGTTGCAGATCCTAGTGCAGCAGCTCGAGAAGCAGGAGATCCTTGCCGAGATGGAGATCGAGAACGAGCCGGAGACTCATGCCCACCTGCAGGATATGATGCGCCAAATTCAACAACAGGGCGCCACACTGGAAGCCCTCCGAGAGGAGTTGGAAGTTCAAAAGAAGACTCCAGAAAAGAAGGTGAGACCTCAGCCTGCAGCAGCCCCAATGAGCATTGCCTCAATGACCTCCGGAAGTTCCACGCCATTGTCCAAGCCACAGGTTCCAAATGTCAGTCAGCGAAAGAGTCGGGCACCGTCCGTCGTTTCCCAAGCTGCAAGCTGGCAAGAGATCGAAGCCGAGGAGGAGACCATTTTGGTCCAGGAGATGGCCCTTTCAGTTCCCGTGGAATTGACTCAAGGGCGAGCCTCGGTGCCACCTGCACCAACCTTGCCGCTGCCTGGAAACCTGACGATCTCAGAGTGGGGGACCAACATGATCAACTTCGGCAGGAAACACAAAGGAAAGACCTTCTCAGAAGTGATGGAGAAGGATCCTGGTTACCTGCAATGGAGCCTGGCCCGTTACGGGTCCCTCATGCCGGAGCACCAAGATTTCTGCCGATTCGGACAACTCTGGTTGACCCACAATCACAACGAGATCTAAATGGACGAGACGCTGAACCTGCTCTACTGAGTGAGTCTGAAGGCTTCCATGCTGCCGTCCAGGCCACAAAAGACATGCTGAAACAGCCAACCAAATTTCAAGACAAAATTCAAATCCATGATCAAATTGAACAGGCCATTCACCACATGGAAGATTTACTTTTCACAGAGATTTCCAACAAAACCCCACATCAAAGAGTATTTCTCCTAGAGGTTTACGCAAATCAACACAGTCCTTTGACCGAAGCAGTTCAGAGAATGGGTCTCAAAGCTCTCAAGTTCACTAAGGAAGATGGAGATCTGGCCACATTTGCCGGTCGTCAAAAGCTTTGGGATGTCATAGAGAAATATCAACCAGAGCACATCTGGATGGCTCCTGAATGCGGTCCCTGGGGTGGCTGGAACCACTTAAACAAGTTTAAGAGTGTTCAACTATATGATGCCATCCAAGCCAAGCAAATTTCTCAGCTTCCTCATGTCAGATTGTGTGCCAAAGTTTGCAGGTTTCAAATTCGAAACGGCCGCCATTTCCATCTAGAGCAGCCTGCTGGATCTGGTCTCCCTCATTTGAAGATTTTTGAATCCTTGCGTCAGGAGACAGCCACAGCCCGCTTTGATATGTGCCGTTTTGGTTTGCGCATCCCAAAGACCAACAAGTACCTTCGCAAACGTAGTGTGCTGCTCACTTCTTCAAAACAAATGTTTCATGCTGTTCATGATCAGAGATGCACAAATCAGCATGATCACCAGAACATTGAAGGGAGCATTTCCATCAATGGCAATCGGCAAAGGCTCACCAGCTTTTGTGCCACTTACTGCCGTGGTTTTGCCGACATGATGGCCAGAAATCTTTGCACAAACCATCACAATCATGTAGGATCTGATGAACATGCCATGGCATATCATGCAGATGGAGAAGAAGAAAACCTGGAAAGACCGACCAAAAGACTCCGCAGTGATCAGAGTCTTTTCAAAAGACGTAGACTCTCTCTGGTTCCACCGGTTGATACCCAAGATGTCGCAGCGCCTGATGTTCCAATTTCTGGCCATGAATCCTCGGATCCGAATTCTGGGACAAATGTTTCTGGACCAGTAGCACCCGTGATTTCCAGGTCCGAACCTTGGAAAAATGTCCTGGATGCCGCCAGATCATTTGCTCCTCGTGTTGGCAATGCCCGATGTCCCACAGATTCAACAGCTTGGCAACTAGCTCAGGAAATTGTACAGGACTCTCTCAAGTTGTCAGACATGTTTGTTTGCAGGGGTACTGAGAGATATCAAGTTCCTCTCCTAGCCCCACCGTCACACCAGTTTTCCCTGAGATACACCGTGTCTGTTCACAGAGAAACATCCGAAATCCATGACCTGGGGTTGGAAAACTGGCATAACTGTACCAGAGCCCAAAGGATAAGAAAGAGCATTCCCAGCCATCTCACGATCACAATGTTTGGTAGTTTGCCAAATTCCGAATCTGTGCCAGCGAATGCTCGTGACCTTGGTCTTGGTGAAGACGGCCCGGCCGATGAGCCTGAATCTGCAGTGCGTGCGACTGGAAGCCAAAATCTTCCGTTGGCTGTGCATGAACGTTCCAACAGCCAAGCTTGCGAAGGTTGGGCACCGCCACCAGTGCCCTTGCATGGCCCAAAATTCCGCTTGCTACAGCCACAAGAGAAACAAGATTTGATAAAGCTTCATAAGAATCTAGGCCACCCAGATCCAAATGTCCTTTCACAACATCTCAAAGCAGCAGGGGCTTCTGAGCAAGTTGTAGAAGCAGCCAAGGAGTACATTTGTGATGCCTGCGTTGAAACCACTAGATTTAGCCATCAAAGACCTGCCAAACTGCACGAACCCAAGGAATTCAATGAACTCTTGGGGATTGACGGTTTCTTTTGGACGGGAAAGAAGGGTTTTCAAGTCATGATTTTCCACTGCATTGATGAAGCTTCTTTGTTTCATTTAGGACGTCGCTTAGACAACCGACACTTGGAACATGTTATCCCTGCGTTCAATGATATGTGGATGTCTTGGGCCGGTCAACCTTCCGGAATTTATTCCGATCCCGCAGGAGAATTTTGTGCGGATGCATGGCTCACCTTTTTGCAAAGGCAAAGCATTGAACCACGCCTCTCAACCGAGGCCTGGCAAAAGGGCAGAATCGAAAGACATGGCCAGATTGTCAAGAACATGCTTCACCGTTATGATCAGGAAAAGACCATTGAAGATGTTCAAGAATTGGATATGGTCCTCCGAGCCTGCTTTCAAGCCAAGAATGCCTTGTCTCGACAAGATGGTTTCTCTCCAGAGCAGATAGTCCTGGGTAAATCCCCTAAAGTCACTGCCTCCTTAACTTCCGATGAACAAGTAGCATCACACAGTCTGGCCGATGGTTCTGACTTGGACTGCGAAAAGTTTCGACGGAATCTGGAGGTTCGTACACGAGCCAGAAAGATGTTTCTGCTTGCGGACAATGACGCAGCCATCCGAAGAGCACTCCTGCGAAAATCATGTCCTCCTGTTGACACGTATACCATAGGTCAACATGTCATGTACTGGAAAAAGAAGAATACCTTTGGTCGTCGTGAAGTAGGACGTTGGCATGGGCCCGCCAGAATTGTTTGTCGTGATGGTTCAACAACAATGTGGATTGCTCACGGAGACAAATTGCTGCGATGTGCACCAGAAAACTTGCGTCCAGCGTCCCTGCGGGAATGGAACAGTGCCTCAGTTTCCTTAGACCAGCAAGTCCAGGATTTGCGCCATCTCAGTGATGCTCAGAACCCAGGGGTGCCACACAGAACAAATGCTCCAGGGAATCAGGAAGATGAAATGTATTCACCCGGTAGTTTTGCTCCAGAACCTGCATTGCCTGTCAGTAACCAATCCAGCGTACAACCTGAAAGTGAACTGTTCCCAGATCCACAAACAGATCCTGCCAATACACCCATAAACGATTCTCCAGATAATTCCAATAATAATAATCCCCCTCAACTAGAAATCAACGATAACTCTCCCGATAATGCCATTGACCTTGATGCCTCTGAGAGTCAGGAAGATGGACTTGAATCCCATGCGGATGTTCTCACATGCCACGATGTTTGTCATCTTGAAACTGATACAACCTTACATGAATGGAATGTTTTTCATGCTGGAACCCAAAATAATCAGGTTTGCCTTGCGGAAGACGGTATGCCCTTTATCGAGAATCCTCCAGAGCCTCTGGATCACCAGTGTTTCATGTTGGAAGTTCCCATGTCACGTCAGGATATCCTGAAATGGTCTTCTGCAGAACATCCGGAAGAACTTGCACAGGTTGCCTCTGCCGGAAAGAGGGCTCGTGCCGAAGTTCAGGTCAAGGATCTGACTCAGGCTGATCGAAAACTGTTTGAAGCCGCCAAGGATGCTGAACTTTCCTGCTGGCTACAGACCAGTGCGCTCAAGCCTGTGCTGAGAAAACACCTGAATCCTGAACAAATCCTGAAATCAAGATGGGTTCTCACTTGGAAGAATGTTCCAGAAAACGAAACAACAAACGGATCAGGAAGAAAAGCCAAGGCTAGACTGGTTGTATTGGGGTATCAGGATCCACGGTTAACCGAAGTCAGCAGAGATGCTCCAACACTCACTCGTGAGGGTAGGCATACGGTTTTACAACTTATCTCCTCCATGCATTGGGTTCTCACTTCTTTTGATATCAAGACCGCATTCCTCCGTGGAAAAGCAGATCAAAATAACCCCCTAGCTATGGAACCTCCAAAAGAGCTTCGCCAACGAATGCAACTTGATGAGAATCAGGTGTGTGCCTTGATTGGGAATGCCTATGGTAGAGTTGACGCACCATTGCTTTTCTATAAGGAACTTTCAGGTCAATTACAAAAACTGGGTTTCAAAGTTCATCCTCTGGAACCATGCGTATATTTTCTTGAATCTTGGAAAGATGGACAGCGTACTCTCCACGGAGTTCTAGGCACCCATGTTGATGATGGAATATGTGGCGGAGATGAATGGTTTCATCACCAAATCGAAGAACTGCGTAAAAGCTTGCCTTTTGGGTCATATAAACAAAATAAATTTGTTTTCACTGGAATTCAGCTTGAACAATTGCCAGATTTTAGTATCCGAGCATGTCAAGAAGATTACGTGAACTCAATCATGCCTATTGAAATTGGTAAGCACAGAAGATCTACACCTCAAGAAACAGTGTCAGAGACAGAGATGTCTCACTTGCGCGGTTTAATCGGTAGCCTACAGTATGCCACAACGAACACTCGACCGGATGTGGCTGCCAAGCTTGGAGAAGTGCAAGTTCAGCTATCCAAGCCTACCATCCAAACTTTGTTGGAAGCAAATAAAGTTCTTCGGGAAGCTCAACAAACCAGTGACGTCAGTATTTTTTTCAGGTCTATTGATCCGGATCAATTGACTCATGTGGTGTTTGGGGATGCTTCGTTTGCCAGTCCAAAACAATTGTCATCGTTTCAAGGTACCCTTGTGTTTGCAACGTCACCTCAGTTACAACAAAATCAAACAGCACCTATCAGTCCCATTTCATGGTCATCAAAAAAGATCTCTAGGGTGGTACGGTCCACCTTGTCCGCAGAAGCTTTCAGCATGTCAAGGAGCGTTGACAAAATGAGCTGGTGCCGACTCTTGTGGGGCACCTTAGTGTTGCCCGAGTTTCAATGGAGGAATCCTCCTGAAGCTTTTCGTCACATGCATGCTGCAGTGGTGGTAACAGATTGTAAATCCCTGTATGATTTGGTCAGTCGACGTGCAATGCCATCATGTGAAGAATACCGCACTACTTTGGAGGTGCTCCTCATTAAGGAAAGATGTCTGGAACACTGTCATTTTAGATGGATTCCCACAGCGTTGCAATTGGCCGATCCATTGACCAAAAACATGGATGCCACCCTTCTCAGAGCAGTTTTAAGACAAGGTTCATTCCAACTGTTCGATGAAGATGCCAGCTTGCAGACGAACGCTCACAAGAAACAGGCAGTCCAGTGGATCCGTGAGTCACATCAAAAAAAGGATTTTAGGGAGTGTGAATTGTCAGGTATCTATGCCTTGATGTGACTTCAGCATGGATCATGAATCCAGGATGGACCACATATAACCTCCATGGGGCCTTTTTGGTTCAGGCCGTGGTGGGAGGGTCGTGGACTTCGCTGTAGGATCGGCGATGGAGCCTTGAGCGGTGAGTCAAAACCTTTTGCTGCGCTTTCTCTTGGTGTGGGACACCAATTCATATCTCTTTGATCGACAGGGTCATCATCCACTTGATTTGACAGGGTTCATTCAATATTGATTTTCCTGACCGGGTCAGATTGCTTGATTGGTTGTATCCTCCGCTACCAATTTACAGTATGTATGTATGTATGTATGTATGTATGTATGTATGTATGTATGTATGTATGTATGTATGTATGTATGTATATATGTATATATGTATGTATGTATGTATGTATGTATGTATGTATGTATGTATGTATGTATGTATGTATGTATGTATGTATGTATGTATGTATGTATGTATGTATGTATGTATGTATGTATGTATGTATGTATGTATGATGTATGTATGTATGTATGTATGTATGTATGTATGTATGTATGTATGTATGTATGTATGTATGTATGTATGTATGTATGTATGTATGTATGTATGTATGTATGTATGTATGTATGTATGTATGTATGTATGTATGTATGTATGTATGTGGATACCTCCTTATTTATGTATGTATCTGAACATATGTGTGCGGATATGTATGCAAATGCGTCTGCATGCATGTGTGTGTAGAGATGTAATTATATTGGTACGTATGCATGGATGAATGCATGTATGTATGTATGTGTGTATGTATATGTATGTCTGAATGCATGTATGTCTGTTTGTATGTATGCCTGTTTGTATGAAAGTATGTATGTATGTACCTATCTATGTATGTATGACTTTATTTTTGTATGTATGCATGCGCGTGTGTGTATATGTATGTATGTATGTATGTATGCATGTAGGAAGACAGCATTCAAGAAAGGAGGTTTGAGGCCCTAACAGGAATCTTCAAGCCCTGTAGGTTACATAGCAACGCAGCAACCTCTCAAAGTAAGCCCTTCGTTTGAGGCCCCCCAAAGTTCAATCTTCCACCGTCGACATCCCATCCTCGCTGCCATGGTTATAAAAGCTGACGTGCGTACTGGCCAGGTGACAAAAAACTTACAGATAACAGAAGTGTGGGAAAGCCGTGAAGTTGCACTTGACCTCACAACCACCATCTTGCGCCCCGTCCAACTGCATTGAAGGGCTGCTTGGTCCTTTCGGTCCGTGCAGGGCTTCCTTCCTGCACGTTAAGGCTATGCTATGTTCGGCAACTTGTGGCTCTGTTGGCCGTTTTTGGAGGCTATGTCGGGCTATTAGGAAGCCATGTTGGGACCATGTTCTTCCCCTTTTGCCTCTATTTGACGGCTTCTGAGGGCTATGCCGGGACATTCGGGACATTTGGAGGCTATGTTGGGACTATGTTGGGCAGACAGGGGGCTTTGCTGGTGAGTTTTGAGCGATATGTTGGGCCATTTGGGGCCTATGTTGGGCCACTTGGAAGCCATGTTGGACCCATCTCGCGAAGATTGGGGCGCTGCTGGTGCTTCTATGTTGGGCCATTTGAAGGCTATATTGGGACATTTGGAGGTTATGTTGGGACTATGTTGAGCAGCTTGGGGCTCCGCTGGTAATTTTTGAAGGCTATGTTGGGCCATTTGAAGGCTATGTTGGGCCACTTGGAAGCCATGTTGGGACTATGTTGGGCAGCTTGGGGCTCTGACGGTGATTTTTGAAGTCTATGTTGTGGCATTTGGGGCCTATATTTGGCAATTTGGAGGTTATGTTGGGACTATGTTGGGCAGCTTGGGGCTCTCTTGACGGCTTCTGGGGGCTCTGTCGGGCCATTTGAAGGCTATGTTGAGACTATGTTCGGCAACTCGTGGTTCTGTTGGCGGTTTTTGCATGCTATGTTGGGCCTTTTGAAGGCTATGTGGGGCCATTTAGAAGCTACGTTGGAACTATGTTGGCCAGCTTGGGGCTCTCTTGGCGGCTTCGGGGGGCTCTGTTGGGCCATCTGAAGGCTTTGTTGAGGCTATGTTCGGCAACTCGCGGTACTGTTGGTGGTTTTTGCGTGCTATGTTGGGCCTTTTGAAGCCTATGTTGGGCCATTTAGAAGCTATGTTGGAACTATGTTGGCCAGCTTGGGGCTCTCTTGGCGGCTTCTGACGCCTATGTTGGGCGGTTTGGAAGCTGTGTTGGGACTATGTTGGGCAGCTTGAAGTTTTCTTGGCGGCTTCTGGGGGCACTGTTGGGCCATTTGACCGCTATGTTGAGACTATGTTCGGCAACTTGTGATATCGTTGACGGTTTTTGCATGCTATGTTGGGCCTTTTGAAGGCTATGTTGGGGCATTTAGAAGCTATGTTGGAACTATGTTGGCCAGCTTGGGGCTCTCTTGGCGGCTTCTGACGCCTACGTTGGGCCCTTTGGAGGCCATCCTGGGACTGTGTTTTGCACCTTGGCGGCTTCCGACGCCTATGTTGGGCCGTTTGGTAGCCGTGTTGGGCCATCTGCAGGCCCTGGTGGGGCTATGTTGGGCAGCTTGGGGTTTCTCGGCGGCCTCTGAAAGCTATGTGAGGCCATTTGGAAGCCGTATTGGGACTACGTTAGGTAGCTTGGGGCTCTCGTGGCAACATTTGAAGGCTGTCTTGGGCCATTTGGAGT